ATATATATATTCCATATTCCACATAATGCGCTGGACTGCAAAGTTGGTGCTTCAAGCTCAACAGCTGCTCCTCAGAAACTGTGTGCAGGGTCGCTATGGGTTGGAACTGACTCTACAGAACTTAACAACGACATTATATATATATGGAGTCCTGGTATGGCACTGTGGTTTAATGCACTGGACTGCATTAAATATATACACACACACTCACACACATAAAATTTGGAACCAGCTGTCTTAGAAAAATGAATTCCTGGTGTGGTGCTGCAGGGTAATATATTGAACCTCAGGGTTGATTTGAACCCTAAGGCTGGCGGTTCAAACTCTCCAGTCGCTCCTTGGAAACCCTATACAGGGTCACTATGAATTGGAAATGACTTGACAGCGCTCAACAACAAATATATATATTTGTTAAGTGGCGTCAAGTAGGTTCTGACCCATAGCAACCCTGTATAGGGTTTCTGAGGAGTGGCTGGTGAGCTTGAACCACCAAACTTGCAGTTCAAAGTAACTTTGTAGTCCAGTGCATTAACCCACAGTGCCACACCAGTAATATATGGAATATATATATGTGTGTGTATATATGCAGTGTACATATATATGAATCACCAGGGGAACCTATAGAGCCAACTATATCCCTGAGCCTCCTATCTAGCAATTTGTGGGTCTAGGTAACTAAAAGGTTGGAAGGTTTTGTCCTCCTTGAGGCACAAAAGGTCTGGTTATCAACTTCTGAAAAACTCAGCCATTGAACACTCGATAGAGCAGAGTTCTACTCTGACACACATGGGGTTGTCATGAGTTAGAACTGATTGCAACTAGTAACTGGTATATTATACTGCATCACTTTCTTAACTTAGCTTGCTGAAAGGCAACTGATAGGGAACCCAGAATCTGCTTTCTTATAAAGGAAAATAGAAGACAGGCAGTAGGGTATTCTAGTGTGATGTAGATGGGTTGCTTTAAGACAGACTGCCCTAAATCCTGTTGGACCATTTTGCACCTTGGAGTGGAGACATGAGGTATGGCCCAGTTGTTAACCTTTATATGCTAAAGAGTCCAAATTTAAATCTATGTAATAAGGAAGCCAGTAGCCACCTACAAATGTCACGAAGTACCCAAGGATAGATAGTGCATTTACCAGGTTGTGGATAAGATTGGGAGATTGTCTCAGCTTTGCTAACCAGCTTTCTTGGGATTTCTTTGCAGGCAATGGTGGCTTGCTACCCAGGAAATGGGACCGGTTATGTCCGCCATGTAGACAACCCCAATGGTGATGGCCGCTGCATTACCTGCATCTACTATCTGAACAAGAACTGGGATGCCAAGGTACTGTGGAACATTGGGAGTAGTGTGTGAACTTAGAAACTACAGGAAAAGATTTTCGATGACTTACAGAGGGAGCTTTGTTGTTCGAACAGAGTTTGGGAACACTGAATGTTTTAAAATTGGGAAAGGTGTGCGACAGGGTTGTGTTCTTTCACCATTCTTGTTCAATATGTATGCTGAGCAAATACTATGAGAAGCTGGGTTCTATGAAGGAAAACGTGGCATCAGGATTGGAGGAAGACATATTAACAACCTGAGATATGCAGATGATACAACCTTGCTTGCTGAAAGTGAAGAGGACTTAAAATATTTACTGATGAAGATCAAAGAGCACAGCCTTACGTATGGATTACAACTCAATGTAAAGAAAACAAAAATTCTCACCACTGGACCAATAAACAGCATTCTTATCAATGGAGAAGAGATTGAGGTTGTCAAGGACTTTATTCTTCTTGGATCAACTATCAACACTTGTGGAAGCAGCAATCAAGAGATCAGACGACGTATTGCATTGGGCAAATCTGCTGCACAGGAACTTTTTAAAGTATTGAAGAGCAGAGATGTCAGCTTGAGGACTAAGGTGCGCCTGACCCAAGCCATGGTATTTTCAATAACCTCATATGGATGCGAAAGCTGGATAGTGAATAAGGAAGATCGTAGAAGAATGGATGCCTTTGAGTTGTGGTGTTGGAGGAGAATACTAAAAGTGTCATGGACTGCCAAAAGAACCAATAGATCTATTTTGGAAGAAGTGCAACCAGAGTGCTCCTTGGAGGCCAAGATGGCTAAGCTTCGTCTCTCATACTTTGGACACATTGTCCGGAGAGAACAGTCACTGGAGAAGGATGTCATGCTGGGTAAGGTGGAGGGTCAGAGAAAAAGAGGAAGACCCCCAATGAGATGAATCAGTCAAGTGACATCATTGATGGCAGCAAGTGTGGCGGCGGTAGTGAGGTTGGCCCAGGATCGGACATTGTTTCATTCTGCTGTTCATGGGGTCTCTATGAGTTGGTTCTGACTCGATGGCACCTGACAACAACAGAGGGAGCTTTAGTTTGAGAATAGCCCTACCTGCCACCAGTGAATCCTTCCTATTTCTGTTTTATATTCCACCCCTTACCCCCAATGCCAAACTAGTGCCAGAATTAATGAGATGAAAATAAGGGTTATGAAGATCATTTATTTTTGATGTGTTTGTATGGTGGGGAGAGACGGGTTAGGATGACTACATGTGTGTAGGAAGGGTGATTGATGAAGAGAAAGAAATAATATTTTAGAATTATTAGTCTAACCCAGAACTGATCTGACTCTCATTGCAGAATAGGATCTTGTTTCCTCCCAGAAGCAGCACTGAGAGACTTTCACAAAAATAGAACCATAGGAAATAAAGCCATTCTCAAGAGAGGTTTCCCACACAGTCCTTTCTGAGGGTAACACGTCTCATTCATGGCTGCTTGCCATGGTTTACTATGGTTTGTGAATACCAAAGGCTCTGTGGCTTATTTTTATATTTTAGAACATATAGATCGAGATATGTAGCCAGGTTCCACGCTTAAAACATTTGTCTGGATTTTTTTATGCTTTCTGAAAGCTAGGAATGATTTAGGAATCTGGGAAGTCAGAGAACTTCTCAAGCTTATTTGGCTTTTGAACCTTCCACATCTCCATTTCCTGTTAGTGAAGGCAGACGCTGGCTGTCATAAAGCAATGCTATTTTATCTGGGGTTAGAAAAACAAAATCTGTGAAACCAGTGAATCAGTGAGAAAACTCTGTCTACTCTGTTTGGTAGCATGACTGGAATATAGTCCTTAGCTTTCTTTCCTTCAAAGTCGTAAGAGGTGATGTTTTAGGCAAGAGAATAAACTTACCAGCCTAGTGCCACCATGAAACATCGGTTACGTGAGGCCTGAATTCTGCTTTCAATATGGCTTAACTAGCAGGACAGAATGTAGTTCAAAGAAGAGAGTGGTCATAAGATAGCTTGAGAGTTCAGCATATAGTTTCCAACTAATGTGGTCAGATAGGGAGCCAGTAGAGTTCAGAAAGATAAAGTACATTCCATTCAGAGAAGAAGTTGTGTGTGATGGTTATCTTGGAGAACTGTTAGTATTAGCATGAGCCAGAGGGCATTGCTGGGGGACTTTTGTAAGTCAAATAGGCAATTTCCATGTCATTCAACCTAATAATACTCCATTTTCTGTCCATGGGCTTCATAATTATAGGGGTAAGAAGGCTTACTTAGGAATCAGGTGGATAAGGAAATTACTCCGCCCAAGTTGGCAGAACAACTTTTATTTTACAAGCTGGTGAAATAAAATATGTTATGAAGTATGAGGTTGAAATAAAAGTTTGAGAGTAAAGTCAGTTGGAGTGAAATTTTGAAAGTTGACATTTTTTCTAGAAGAGGTTGAAATATTGTTGTCAGTAGAGTATGTCTAAGGCCAGGAAATAATCCACTTTCTTTGTGACCCTCACTTAGGTGCATGGTGGGGTCCTACGGATATTTCCAGAAGGAAAATCTTTCATAGCAGATGTGGAGCCCATTTTTGACAGACTCCTGTTCTTCTGGTCAGACCGCCGAAACCCACATGAAGTTCAGCCTTCTTATGCAACCAGGTAATTCACCAGGGTCATGTGGTTGGTTGGTTTGTTCATTTGTTTTTCTGGAGGAGCTTGCTGTGTAAAGCTCAGCTCCCAGAGATATGGGGAACTCATCACACCCCAGAGCAGATAGCAATCCTGTTTGAACTTTGGATTATTTGGTGTACAAAACAATGTCAATTTGATATAACTTATTTAATAAATTAAGGAGCTCTGGTAGAGTAGTAGTTACGAATTGGGCTGCTAATTTCATGGTCAGCAGTTCGAAACTACCAGCTGTTCCACGGGAGAAAGATGAGGCTTTCTGCTCCCATAAAGATTTATAGC